AGGCGTATTTTAATATGTATTCTAAATTATATAAGTATCGGCAACTATGGATATTAGCATTTTTAAGAAGAGTTACAGTTGGTTGAGGAACATATGTATGTGGGGCGATGATTTGTCACTAAAAATCCGAGTGGTCACCCATCCGAGAACTAGCAACGCCGGCTGATACTTGATCTCAGGACACGTTAGTGACTAAGGCTAACCACCGAGCCACGCCAGGCCCTTATAGTTTATTCAAGTCTTTGATATGTGTTATAACGTGAATCAAATTTGATTCTTTTAGTCTTTAAATAAATAAAATAGTTAATTTCATATCGTATAATTTTTGGGTTTTTAGATTGTGTATGTTCATCATTATTTACTTATCATTGACAAGTAGATTTTCTTCAAAATAATGTATAAGATTAAGGGGCGTGTCACGATTTTGATATTATTAATAGGTCACTCGGATTATGCCGATTACGCCGCACATATAAACACCCAATTTGGTGTGCGACTGCCACTTGGCTGGAATCCTTGTAGGATCGCTCTTATAAAGACTACGTCGTCGTCGTCATAGTTGCTGGTACACTACCACCAGTGAACCTATTATATTAATATAGTATGATGGTTATGGTGGGTCGGTTTAATAACAATATCATAAGACAATGCAATGTTTGTAACGCTAATTTATTGTTGTCATTATTTCCGTCGTATACTTGGATAAACTAAATTATCTTACGGAAATAATTTTTTTTTGAAACCTTTCTGACAAGTGTCTTGTCTTTAATATAACTTTTGTTTACTTCGTTTACAGTTTAGTAAATTTAAATATTTTTAATGAATATAACAGGGTAACAGACTGTTGAATTGGTTACTGCTACTTTTCGGTTGGTTACATAGGTAATGCAATTTTCTTGTACATTTTCTTACAATAATAACATATTGTACTTATAATATATAATCTATTACTAGTAGTAGGTATAAATCAATGGTAATTGTGTGTAATAATTTATTGTTTTACTACGATATACATACTAAAAAGTAAATAATGAATAACACTATTTGATCATTTTTTCTGGCCAATATGTGAAAGGATTTAAGTAAGTGCAAATAAATGTCATCTCTAAGAAAGGGAAGGTATATGGGTGCTTTGTATTTTAATTTATGATCATTAGTAGTTACGAAAAAAATTATTGCGTTATAAATTTCTGACCTACTGATTTTAGTCTAAAACTATGCCTGGATTGTAGTATACATTTTATGTATTGTCGACTTATGTAGATACTAAAAAATTACATTCTAAAAATTTGTTTTTAATCCTCTACAAAGATATTCCTAGTTCTTCTGTAAAGTCAAAGACTTAAAAACCTAGAATAGGCATCAAGGTCATGGGAATAAATAAGATAATCTAAGTATAATGTATAGAGAATAGAGATTACATGTTTTGTACCTATTTTAGCTTTAGGCAGATTTTATATTTTATAATAATATTGTAACCTCTATGGGTCCCTAAATTTAGATGTTATTTGTAAAATAAAAAAAATTTTAAATATCATTGAGAAAAATCTAAGATATTCATATAGTACAGGCTAGATATTATGTGTCATATTATTTTTTTAAGCTAAATTGTTCGGTTATTAATCGATATTTTATTCAAGTTACGATTAATTACGTAATTTGAGATCACAATTGGGCGGTTTACATAGGATTTTGTATTTTGGTTTTCGTGTGTTTCTTTTGGTGGTTTGGGTTATTTGAGTAATATTGAGTGTAATGGATTGATATAAACATTACATGGGAGCATTGGGATCAGCAGTGGGTTCAAATGAATTAAATAGTGCTGTGGACGTTACTCACTGAATATTGTGTAGGTATTAGGTAATATTAATATATAATATTGACATGAAATGTAAGTTAACTAAATTTTAGTTTTACATCATCAGTAGTCATACACACTTTGCCTGTGAATCAACGAGTATTTATACTTCGTATTCATACGATACTAGATTATATTAGTACTCTTGCAGTCTTACTCTTCAAACAAGGTTCTACTTTACTGAAAAGCAAAGCTAGATTCACATCACATTTTTCCTACTCCTGTTGTACTGCAATTCTATTATTCAATAGAAAAATAAACTATCATTTTTATTATTTGCCGTTACGGCATCTACATTTTTTTTATTCAAGTAATATTATTTTTAAAAATTAAAACTTTGATTGAAACAATAAAATATTATGTATTTTTTAAAAATAAAAACATGTTTTTGTTTTATTACTTTGTCCCTAATTTTCCGTTCACAAACTTACGTACAATTCTTCAGAACCTACTGACGAGCACCCGAAGCCTGTATTTAGATATACCCATTACCCATACATGAATTATGTAGAAATTCATCTTTAATTCACCTAGACTATTGAATCTGCTGACTATAGAACACCAATCTGAAAAGTATTTTTCAACATCGATACTGTAACTTACACGTCATGTTGACGGTAACATTTGTTAATTCGTTTTCAGACTACTTTTATTTATTATATTTTTATGATTTAAATATTGAATCACAGCACACGCAGCTCTATTTATAAAAAGGGGGAATCGAACTCTGTTTAAGCTGTGTGATGTTTTCATTTAGTTATTTGATACTTAAACATACTATTCTAGGTTCTCGTTAGTTGTTGATATGTTATTTTAATTTAATAAGTTGCGATCGATATTATGACGTAATGCAATGAATCCTGAGGATAATTAATAGGGGTGAAAATATATAATCTAAAATGAAACTAGTCATATACTTTTAGTTGAACTTCAATGTACGTAACATGCGTATGCTTGGTGATGGCGATATCCTCTATTTTACCCAGTTTAAATAATAAATAGGTACCTCTGGTACCTACTATATGTTAAATAGTATAGGAAATAAGGCCAGTAAGGTCGTGCGTAATAATAAAAACATCGTACACATCGATGTAACGATTATTGACATTAATTAAAAACTCAAAGTGTATACGATACCTATAGATAAGATGCTGTGGTTGCCGGTGGCTATAATAGTATAATACACGATAAAGTCGTAATAACTTAATTTTTTCTTATTAATCAGTGTTTACGTAGGTACCTACCTATATACCTATAGACACGTCGGCATCGGTTCGAATCGCGTGCCTACGAAATAAAACAATGAACGCGTTATATCTATAGAATATTTTAGCTACTATAGTAATGATAATGTTAATAATTCGTAAACGTTTTTGGGTTCACGTAGATTATCTTATATCATAATAATTGTTTGAGAGGAAAGCGATATTTAAGTGTACACACGCACTCGCACAAGCACATTCGGTATGAAACGCTATAAATCATTTGCAGCGCTAGCGTTTTATTATTTTTATTTATTTCCTCACGTGTACACGCACCGCCGACATACATTGTACATATATATTTACATAATACAATATATTATGTACGGCACGCGTCTACATGTGTAGTATAATACTGCAGATCAATGCAGTGGTTCATGTGGTAGTGTATAAGTCTACATGACACACTACCATAGGCGCAATTTCAAATTTATTCTTGGGAGGAAGAGGGGAGGCTGAATAACTTTATGACGAACCTGCAGACCCGTGGAACCCCCCACCGTTTATTTTACCTTAACCAATTTTTACATCTTACAAAAATGTTTCACCACATTTTATTGATGCATCGTCATTATTCCCAGTCTTATCGGAGGGGGGGGGGGGTAGCAGTTGTCACCTCACACGCACACACACACATTACACACTTATCAGAAATGATAAGGAAATAGTACTAACTAAATTCAAAAAGAAAATAATCACAAGGTAATTGATAATTTTACAAATAAATATTATACGTCTGCAATGCATATTAATATTTTGTTGTCCCTTTCTGACCCAAGAGAGAATACAGTAAATTTGTGTTCAACCAATCTTGTGCTGTTAGCTTTAATATTAGAGTTAGTTTTGCAATAAAAAAATTATTATTATATCATAGGAAATTTGAAATATTGTAATAAAAACAGAGTAGGTATTTGGATTGTGATAGTAATTTTTTTATCGTAATATTTTATATTCCTACTCATAAATTGCAATATCGTAAAAAGTCAACTTGCTGACACACATATATAATGTTCTTACATTAAAATATAATAATAGGTCAATTCAATCTAATATTACATAGCTAATAACACTAGATTGTTTTGGCTAAACTTGCAATGCTACGTGTGGTTAAGATAGTGATAACGGTTTGGCTGACATCGTCTCAATCAATCGTCTAACGAAAAATACAACAAGTTCCCAGCTATAATCACAACATGTTTAGTGTACAGTAGCTGTGGTACTGAACTAAATCACCCCTAGCCTCCCCTCCTCTAATTTCACTTAAACACACCACGTGTCGTCGGATACGTATCTGGTGGCGCAGGTCTGAACGTATAAATCGTATACATTTTATAACGACTCTGACGAACAGTCGAATAATTGTCACATTAACCGTTCGTAAAAGTATATACCTACTACGTACGCAAGTGTACATAAACAGTGCGCGGTCGGAGCTCGTGACATTTTATTATTATTCAGACAGGGCGTGTGATGGCCACGGGTCGGCGGCGGCTGTGGCGGCGGTTCTGCGGGACACACGCCCTTGCGTAGGTATACGCTATTCATTGACTGGACCCCACAGCTGCCGCAGCCGCCGCCACCGCCGTCACTATCGCTACCACTATGTCTGCCGGTCGGTCTGTCTTCCGGTCGGTCGGTCGGTCGATGGGTCGGTTGGTCGGTCAGTTTGTCGGTCGGTCGGACGGGCCGTCAGCTGTGCGCCGTTCAGCATCTCACCGCGAGCGCCGAGCCGAGCATGTGGAGCGATCTGCCGACGACGGCGGCGGGCGGCGGCAACGGATACTACTAATATATATTCGACTGCGACGACGATCGGTGCGCGCACGCGGCCTGGCTCTACGCCGCCGCCGCATCTATCTCTCCTACATCGCGCGCCCAAGGAGGAGGCACCACACTCGAGAGTTGTCGCGCGTACACGTCCGACACACCCTGCGTGTCCTCCGTTCGGCCACCTTGGGGCGTGGACAGTGTTCGGCGCTTTTTTTTTATTATTTTTATTATTATTATTTATTTATTTGTTTGTTTTATTATTCTTATTATTCCGCGTGCGTTGAAGTGTATATATAATAATATTATAAGACCGTGCGTGTGTGTTCAAGTGCTCTCGTCGGGTAATCTCATCCGAAATATACGTCGCCACGGTAAAGGTCTGACGTGACGAGCTTAGGAATCTTCGTGTACGCAATAATAAATAATATATATATATTAACTATATTATATTATTACACTACACCCGATAATAATCTTAAAGTGGTAAAAGTATATAGTGTGCGGGTGGCCAGATCTAACGGTGTGTGTGTGTGTTATACATTTCGATCACACCGATCGTTGCCGTCTTCGTCTTCCTTTCGTCGTCGTGATCATACGGTGTCGGTGTTTCATTTCTACGCGATGGGCATACACCCGAGCGCTATGCGGTCGTCGTCGTCGACGTCGTCGCACGGTGACAGGCAGATGTCCGTCAGGTCCAGGCGATCGCAGGTATATTGGGGAGGGCATAATATATTATGATGTGGAAGTGTCGTACGTCGTAATATGATATAATGAGTTTGCATTTGTCTCTTGACGCGTCGTTAGGTGCAGTGTATATGACGCTAAAACGCTGTCCGTTGATTTGCGTCGCAGAGGAGGGTTCTTATATACCGTGCTTGCGCACAGCTCTTCACTCGAGTAATTATGTACACGTCATATATAATGCATACTACCCGTGTGTGTCTGTGTACGTACACGGATTACGACTACGGTATAGGTTGACCAGTGCGCGAATGTTTTTTTTTTTTTTTTACCAATCCGAGGAGACCTTTAGTGTGATGTCGGAGTGCGTGTGTGTGTGTGTGTGTGTGTAAGTGCGTGCGTGCGCGCGCCCGCCCGCCAAAACGGCCTTTGGTACACACTGAACGACGAACACTCTCGTCGTTTTCCCCGTAATGCCGTCTCCGGTCCCTCTCCGCGGGCCGACCCAACGATCTCACGTAGTAGGGGTTCGCAAAGGTGACGCGGCGCTTCGGATAGGCAATTCAGGTGCACGCGCGTCCTCGGCACCGACGAGAAACCATACGATGTCAGCATAGTACGGATATTATTATTACTATTACTATTATTTCGGTACACTGCAGACGCGCGGGCGCCGCTGCGCGAACGTCCCCAGTCGTATATTATTTTATATTATATATCGTATGCCATTTCGAGCGCCGACTTTCGCCGTGTACGTACAATATATTATGTATGTAGATAATATATGTGTGTACGTGTGTCGTACGGTTAGAGTAATGCGGAACACGGGGGCACTCGTACGATTATTATGGTGACCACGTCCGTGTACGAGTGACGCCGATAAAGTTTATAACAAGATTCCATTCCATTCCACTCGCGTGTGTACGTTTGTGTGTGTGAGCGCGCGCGTGTGTGTGTGTGTGTGCTGCGTGTGAGCGTGTGTGGGTATGCGTGTGTGAGCGTGTGTGCGTGAGTATATTATACACGAGTTCGAGTTGAGCTTGACCCAATTGTTGTAACCTCTCCTAACGACGCTTGATTTCGACGCGCTTTGAGTATTGCACCCGTGGCGCCTCGCAAAAGTTGCCAAAATTGTATTTCATTCTCCCTTATCAATATAGGTGCCTATACGTTACTGATTGGTGTGCACCCACACACGAGTAACAATATATAATGCCTTATCGACGGTCCATTCCCGACGTATACCCCGAGGGTTCAATTATGAACATTAATATCGTTGTATGTAATACAGAAATATAATTACACTTCCGCATACGTTGCATAAAAATATAAAAGTCGAATAAACAATATATATACATTATATATTTAACAAAAAACGTTTCGTAATATATTATAATTGGTAGCGTTTGAACCGAAACGTGCGTGTGTTCGAATAAACTTAGATTTACCGACGATTACCTAACGAAATAATACCCAGTCCTGCGCGGACGGAATGGGGGTAGGAAGGTTGCAGTACGCTGTTTGGGTAGGACACTTGCATAGCTTTAACGTTACGCAACGAACAGTTGGATGGATTTTTAATCCGATTGATGCGTGTATGTATAATATGAACTATTTGTGCGGAGAGAGGGTATAGGTGCTATTCTTAGTGGTGAACACTTACCGCGTATTCTACGATTACACTTAATAACTGGACATGTATAGTATCAGCTGTCCCGGTTGTATAATAAAATTTAGTTTCAGAACCTTCTCGGCACTAAGCATATAATATTATAATTTATACTTATTATTGTTCAAGAAATGAATGCTACGCGTACAGTTTTAATTATCAAGCAACAAGTTTTCAAAAGCACTAAAGATATTTTAATATAATATATTTTTCATATTATCATGGCTATATCTTATGTTTTTTTTATATCACTTCACGGGATTATGCATTTTATTATTTTCGAAATAATAGGAAAAATTTTGCTCGTTTATTCAATGGTTCTTCAAAACAACCTCTTGGACTCCGCGCGTAACTGCTAACCCGACATTCGTATTATGTACACCACACCACACAGTATATATTACTTTTTTTATGAAATTATGTACATCATACATGTATTATATTCTTAGGAAGTCGGGAATAATATTTTAATTTGTATTATTTGACAGCACTAACATCACTATAAATACAGTTTATAAATTAAATTTAGACCGACGCATGAATATTAAACACCCATAGACAAAATGTTAAATAAAGTAATAAAACTTACTTTTAACTTTTTATAAAAGGTTTATCAGGAAGATATAAAAATTTTACATTTCAACAATGTTTGAATGCGTCTAATTTTTGTGAAACACCCACAATGTGGTAACATAAATATATTGGTAGATATATTAACATGTATTTAATGATTCAACTTATTTGTATTTTAAAGTGTGTATATATAGTGTATTTAAATTAATTTACATTTCGATGTTTGGTAAAATAATTCATTTAATTTTATAACCAATACAATTTTTTTTTTTTAGTATTTATTTGTTTAAAATAAGTAATAACCATAAAACAAATTCAGGACAATAAACAATATTAAAATCAGTCATTTGATTTTAATTATGTGTGATTTAGAATAATTATTTATAAAAAAAATAAATAAGAATATCCATATTTTAATTTTTGTTATATATTGAGTATATTTATAATTATCTACTTCAATATGTACGTATAAAATTCGTAATTTTTTTTCAACAATTTAATAAATTTTGTTAAGATTGAACACGTATTGTTTAAAACAAACCATATAATTTAATTTATATGATTAAAATGTTACTTGATTTTGAATACTGAAATAGATAACAGAATAAGATTGAACTGTTTATTTTATTTTTTTTAAAAAATAAAACAATAACTTAATTATTACTAAGATTATCGATGTAGTGTACTTAACATAAGTACGTAAGTGTATGGATAATATACTGTTTTCGATCAGTACATCGATTCTTATACAATCAAATTTTTAAAATGAATTGTCGTTTTACAGTAATAATATATTAAACCACTATTCTGCCGAGCAGTGAAAGTCAAAATACTAAATGATTGCTATACATCATTTAAAAAAATACTGTGATGAAATTACATGGATTAAATGGATTATATAATATATACTTAGAATGAATTGTATTTGGTATAGTTATTTTAATAATGATTTTTCGAATTAAAATTTAGTTAAAAAGAACTACCGATGTGTACATCCAAATGATTTAACAAGTTATATATTAAGTAGTTTTGATATCCATTTCGTGAAAAAAAATATCCAGGTTGTGTAATTGCAATAATTACGTGATGGAATGTTGTGTTGAAAACTATATTCTGTTTCGCGATGCGGACAATAACGCCATATTTATGGGAATTTACAACGCATAACGCTATGGCATATGTGTATTAATTTTTCAGTTTACATGATTTGTGGATAGCAATTTTTTTCAGATCTCCAGACCAATAGTTTTTTTTATAAAATCTCAAAAACAGCATAAATAAACTTTCAATAAGCATAAAAAATCTTATTAAAAAAAAAAAATTATATTCTGGTCAAACTTAAATGTGTCTAATATCGTTATTTAAATAAATTATTTATCATCTGTGTATATTATTATTATAACGTCGTCAATGACTCACGTAATTTTTGTTTTAAAATAGCTAAGTGAATTGTTATCGAATATTGGACCACTCATTTTAATTTATAGCATCGATCATAAATTTTTATCTAATTTCCATATATTGATGAATTTATTATAGTGGTTTAACGACCTAAAAACTACTTAAAAAAAAAAAAAATATTTCATTAATGTAAATTTTAAAATAATTTAAACGTTGATAATATTGTGATTAGGTACTCATTCATGTTAGTGAGGTTTTACAGTAAAGCATTAACATACGATGTTTTTTTGTACCTCTGGGTGACTAAATGATTATTATTTAATTTTTGGATAATGATAATAATCTTCAAATATTAAACCGATTAACTTGGTTATATGCTTTACTACATATCGTATTTTCAAAGATTTAAAAATATTATAACTATGAAATGTATTAATCGAAATTTAGTCACATATGTAGTGGATATTTTTATTACCACCTACATTATACCGTTATTAATCATATTTTTAGAACTATTATGGGACTAAAATTATGTACAATAATATCACAATTATTTACGATGCAGTAAAAATTCATTTGTTTTCATATTTCGTGTTCAAAATGTTGGTGTAGGTATTGGAATCATTTTACCCTGAACATTATTCGAGAGAGACTTTGATCATACATTTTTTATGTGCATTAATATAATTACGTATCTATATTCACCGAAAAATAGATTTCAATAGACTGTCAGGTGGATGAGAACATTAATAATACGTATACAAAATGTAACACTATCGTATGTTTGTGCGACTACTAAAGTCAATTACTATAATATATTATTATATAATGACATATAATATCTGTATTTATTAGACGTTTTAATTTCGACCATACTGCTGTGCGCATTACGTTCGCACAGTGTAACGAACATCGTACGTTTAAAATACTATGCAGCGAGAGCAATAAATACACCTAGGTACAATGTTTAGTAGCCCTGACCGTGATATTATGGTCCTGTGACGTCACGGGAACCATATATACCCCCATCGATCGTGGGCGTTGTTAAAGCATCCAGAACGATTCGTTGGGCTGCGGTTTATAAACAGCGCTATTGGGTCAGTTTTTTTTTCCGAATAAGAAGATTTATCGAAATCGGTTCTTATTTGCTTTTGACGACAATGTGCTATTTTAAACGGTAGATAATATCGTACTACGTTGTCATCATATTTTATGAAATATGTAAACAAAAATTAATAAGCTATTGGGTTTTTTTAAACCTTCATTATTATAGTATCTGAACTATTGTTGAGCAAACAACAAATTGACATATGATATAAAATATGTTTATATTATTTATTTAAATTTATATCATATCATATTGTACTGTTTTATACTGCTCAGAAGAAAAGAAATTTTACTTTTATTTTTACTTTTTACATTCATACAATTACCATATTACCAGCTTTAAAATACTTAGGGACTGAAATGTTTTAAATTAGGAGTGTATTATGCAATACATTAAATACCACTCGTAATCATAATTTTGTGATTTTTTAAAAGTTAGAATTAAATAGATTTTTAAAGTTTAATATTTTATAATATTGTTTTATACACAGAGAATGGGGGATGACGGTGGAGGTTGGTGACCAGAACAGTCGCAGGGGTTGGAAATGGGCAACAAACTGAGCTCCTGCGGACCTCTAATCAAAAAATCATACAGATACGATGACGTTGCTGGACCATTTCAAAGCTCGTCGAGAAGAAGAGATGGTCATCTTCTTAGGTGATTTCAATATGAATTGAATAATAGTAGCTGTAAAGACTAAAGATTCTATTACAACGAAATCATAAAATAACTCAAATATTTACCAACACATAAGCAATAGAAAATAAATCTGTTAGTAAAAGTAAAATATACCATTACAAAATGTGCAGATATAGTGGATACATCCGATCATAATATTATAATGACACACACACACACACACACACACACACATACACTTACACTCACACAGAACAAATAATTATAATAATAATATGGATATAACTTTGAGTAACCACTTATATTATTCTAAATTAGATCAATTACATTTATTTACGAAACACAAAACTGTTGTATGAAAATAAGATTATTTCTACCCGGTTGTTAAACTACGTAAAATACGAAAAAACCCGTTACGAGTTTACGACATATACTACAATATACACAAACAACCACCGTAAATTAACATTTTCAATATTCAATGAGATACAAACATACAATTAATATAAAGACAAAAATGAATAAATCTATTTATATTGATCTGTCAATCAGTTATTATTTTATCGTGGCGCAAAACGCAGTTCTGCAGTTCATAGAAAATGCAATATTTTACTTTATTTATTTTTGTGTGTATGTTTCAAAATAATACTTAATTTATTAATACCAGTAAAAAAACAATAATTTCATGCAAACCAATATTAATAAATGTAATGTGTTATAATAGACGACGTGATCATGGGTCCCATGTCACAAAAATTATGTGAATTTCAACTAATATTTTGAGATTACCATTATATAAATTGTATAACACAGAATTCAAATTGCACTGTTTATTATAATTTATATTATAATATACACCTTCAACCTGAGTTGACTCAATGAATAAGAAATAATGGATCAATGTATATGCGTAAAATAGGTTTTATTTGAGTTTTTCCAATGCAGTTTTTTTTTTGTGATTTTAAGTCCAATACTGAAAGATGTCTTGTGAAAGACGAGGCTTAGGTCATCAATTGGCTGTTTTTGTTCCTATTTTGTGCTGAAAGATTTATTTTTCGAGGGTTTTTCGTAAACAATTTAATAATAAGATAATAAATTAAATTCCGTATTATTTAGTCAAATAAAATCTAATTTGAATAATACAATCTGTTTTTCATACAAAATAATAAATAAGTAAGTATGTAGATATGTATATTATTATAGACGTATTAATTGTTTATATTGAATTGATAATCATTTAAATAATAAAATAAAAATATATATTAAACAATTATTAGATTTGATACTTTAGCAAATAATATTATTATAAAATTTAGTTCATTTATATAAAACAAAATTATGTTTTCAAATATTATTACTAAACTATTAACGTTTAAAAGAATTATTAATCAGCGTATAATGAATCTCCAAGATTTATGATTTGACTCATACATGGTAAACATAAGAAGAAACAATAGCTCATGAAAACTTAAACATTCATAAAACATTGAAGAAGATAATTATTATTGTGGAAAGTCTGTTTTCTCCCTCAAGATTCAATTGCTACGAAATTCAAAATCACCTATTAATATTTAGTATTAGTATAACAACATTTAAGATAATATTTAGAAAAGATTCAACCTAACATTTTAGATTTAATATTACAGTTTCCAAAATAAGTACACTTTTTTAACAGATTATAAGTTCAAATTTTATAAAAATCAATTTTAAATTTTATTTAAAGACATATTACTTAAAAAAAGTGCTCAAATAAGTCATTCGATCCATACCAACATTTCCAATAATACTTCGTTTCATACTACAACTTGCCAACGTAAAATTTCATACTTGAAACATGCTCGAGCCTCCCACGAGTTTTTCTCAGTGAGGCCCAGTAATCCTTTTGATATTAATTTCAATAAAAAAAAAAATACTCTAATAGAAAGTATGAAAGTATAATTTTATTATTTGAGACGACTCACTCCTTAACCTAACCAAAACTTGAAATCTAAATCTACTGTATGTCCATCATAATTATTTCACAGTTATAGTCTCGTAATAAACTGAAAAAGAGATCAGCATTTCTTCGTAATAATATACCATAAAAGAGTTCAGATTTTTATATTACCAAGGGATGTTTCTTGTTATATCCTAATATTTTTTTTGTGTTAAATGATGTTTTAATAATATATGTAATAGGTATATACTATATACTATATATAGATACATATATACATGTATTTACAAAGATTAACATAATTGAAAATCAACGAATTTATTTTCCAATAACATTGTATAATTTTTTTCTTATGTTAGTATGTTTCATATTAGTTTATTGAGATAAATATATTTTAAAATACAATTTCAGATTATGGGCTGAAGTATTTCACGTGAGTGCTAAAGGAGAAGAAATAAAATGGCAACAAATATCCGAAGATCTCGTTCCTGTAAATATCACGTGCCTACAAGATGGACCAGAGTATATTTTCCATATTACTGCTTACAACAGCCAAGTGGAAAAAATCATGGATATCCGCCTGGTTCAACCAGGTATATATAAATACTCGGCTAATTTGTAAAGTGTACTGAAATCTCTCTATATTGGACATTATATTATTATAAGTCAAGTTAATTATGTCTGGTATTAAGATATGTTCATAATTAGAGGTTTCACTTGTATACGTATAATAAACCAAATTTCGTTTACTTTTAGGCACAAAAATAGGGTTAGCTTCAGAGTGTTTTGCGTATTGGAAAGAACCACATAGTAATGACACTTGGGGCTTAAATTTCACATCACCAATAGACGCTAAACAATTTAAAGAATGTTGCGTAAGTACAATTAAGTACCTAAAATCTACCTGGTTCAACAAAAACAATATTAATCTTAACATTATTTGATTATAGACTCCAACTGTGAAATTGTCTCGGAAATCATCTTCATCGTATTCCTTAAAATTAGATACATCAAAAAGACAAAGTACGAAAGTGAGAAAGAAACCGTTATCGACACCAACTTCACCTAGTAGATCATCAAGGGAGCCACAATGTACTTGCATGACAGCTGATCAATTTAATAGGCTCAGGGCACAAGATCCGAGATACAATAAAGAACGATGTTTGTTGCATTTTTTGAGTTTTTAACATAAAATATACAAAAAATTATATCATTTGTTTTAGCTTCTACGTTACCACGTTCTCACACTCGACAACTTTCACTTGGAGATGGACCTTCGGAAGCTGATAAAACATCAGTGCCCGAAGATACGTCCAAACAGACCATATCCCGAAGCTCAAATACGAGAGACAGAGAAACTGCCACGCCCGGTGGAAAATTAAACATCACCGGAACTGGGTCACAAACAGAACAGGTAAAAAAAAAAAATTAAAAATTAAAGCAAATTTCAAATAAAAATATAAAAATGTTTGTACAGGGTCAACAGGAAAGTTGTAAAAGTGAAGGAGTGCAAACAATCGGTGCTAAAACTACGTCTACCACGGGTACATGCACTCCAAGAATGCCTTCTAAGGATTATTCTGAGGGGTACGTTGAGTCAGATTTATTTAAATCAGCGACAGCTTCAAAAAATTCAAGAAATCAAAACAAAACATATAGAGATGATTACCGATATAGAGACAGTGAGTTATATCTTTCAATTTTTTTTATTGAATATGATACATTTTCATTAATATTTTATTAATTATTTATATTATTTATCATCGTTGGTATATAAAATAATTTAGACAAAAAAATTTTTTTTAAATTTAAGCTAATTTGAAAAATTTCAAAAAATTTAGATATGGGGTCAATGAAACGCACATTAAAACCAATGCCATCATTAGAAAGTCCTGTTACTTCACCAGAAATGAACCGAAGACGTGGATATAGCTATTACACTCAGCCACCACCCGTTTCTACGATGGTACCCCCCATGCCACAATGTTCAAGACAACAATCAGTATCAGAACCAGAGTCTAATGTAAAACATAGAAATTCACGATTTAACAATTCCGGTAACTTTATATTTATATTTTAAAAATGAAAATTAGACCAAAAATTAATTTTTGTTTTGTATTGTATTTTTTAAAATTAAGGTTCCCGCTCATCATATGACATTGGTCGAAATGGTCAAGTAAGGGATCCAAGAGGCCTTTATTTGGAATTGGATAGAAATGGACGGCCTACTCATGGTGGAGACGTTTCACCACTTTCCGATAACGTTATGTTTGATAACCAGTGTTATGCGACGACACCTAACTCGAACAATGGTAATTCCGACCAGATTCAGAGTAACACTAAGGGCATATCAGGTCCGTACGCATGGACAACAAAAAGCATGGTGGGCCAGTTGGTCATTAGGTAGAAAAATAACTAGTGGGCTCTGTTGTGTATTGAAGTACAGTTTTTGAGGTTTATAGTAAAACTAAAAATATAATAGTTATTGTGCTTTTCATGCGTATGTTTAATACTTATGTTTAATACAAAATAATTTTACTTTTATAGTGCCTAAATATTTGTAAACAGAAAAAAAAATAGGTGTAATAAAATAAAAAGTAAATTATGATAGTTATATTTTAGTAATTAAATGCACTATAACGACTCAATAAAATAAAGAAACGAAGTTAAGAAAAACTAGTAACAATAAAAAGTTAGTAAAAAAATTAAATTTTTTAAATTTTTTTAAATTTTAGGACGTTATCAAAAACATGATAATCAAGCAACAAGTACTCCAGGTTCACCAACTAGTCGACTTTTACTCGAATATGAGATGCACTTACGAAATACCTTAGCACGTGGTATGGATGCTGAGAGTTATAGCTTGCACACATTTGAAGCACTATTAACACAGAGTATGGAAAATTTAGGTAATTTATAGTAATAATGTTAATTAGCTTAAACATTTATACCTTGGTTATTGGTTATGTTTTTAGAAATGGCAGAAAAGTTGCCTCCATTAAATTCAAGAAGTCCGTATCCTACGAGAAGGAGTTAGTATATTAATAATTCTACAATTCATTACTAAGCACTTTGTACCAATATTGTGTGTACTAAAATTTTTAAATTGCAATGTATTTTCAGGGCCGATGAGTGCTGGAGGGAGCTTTAATAGATCATCTACACTTCCGCATCGGATCGAAAGATCATCTAGTGCTACGAGAGAGGGTTATTATAGTGATAGACAAGATGCAGCAAGAGAAAGAGACAGAGAACGAGGTTACTTATCTGATCATGCACTATCTAGGTAAAATTAAACTGAACACGTTATATCTGTGTACCTATAAAAATAAAATTAACAATTATAGAAATAAAATTATGTTTATAAATATTATAATAACTGATTTTGAGACAAGTAAAATGTTAAGCAATTTTAACAAGTAGGTACTTAATAAAATAAATATTTTTCAAAAATTCTAAATGGGTTCAAAATGTTTCTTAGTTCACAAACTCATAAGATATTCACTTTACAATTTAATTGGTAGTACAGTTTACTATTTACATTAATTCCATCGAAAACTGAACAAGTTAATATAATTATCCTCCATAATAGTTTAGTATTTTCAATTAAAATTAGTTTAAATACTATACAAACTCTGGCATAGTGAAATGTACCTTGCCTGCTGTTATTTTCAATGCATTTTAAGTATTGAACATAAATCTTGATTCGTAAAAAACGTGTAACTATAATATAAGATATTTGTTAATTTTTAGTAACATACTAACCCATTAGGTCAATTTATTATTCCATAACTTGCTGCATCCTAGAATATAATTAAATTAAGGGTAACACATTTAAAATTTGAAGTGCTATATTATCATTACCTCAGTTAAGTTATTATTTGTATTACCAAGCACTTTTATTTAGAATAAAAAATGGTAATAAATTTTAAAAATTCTGGGGTAGGACCGAAAAAGTAGTGCAATAGATGTTGTCAGTTAAAAACTTAAAAATAGAATTTAGATACATTCTGAATTTTTTAAAATTTTTTTTTAATTTTAACAAGATATAAACAATCTGTACCCTTGGGCACAATAAGAATATGTGATAAGGGAGATTTTATATACGAAAAAACGCGAGAGAAGAAGCCATCCAGTGAAAGCACTACCTATTTGTTTGTCTATTTATTTTATAATTTTTTATTTTTTATTTTTTAAATTAATCCTTGAATCTACACAAATATTTACCTATTCCTCTTAACTATTTATAGGTACTCGAAATATTCAACTTTTTATATTTTTTAGATTTATGTATGGTAGTATTTTTGCTTTTGATTAAAAATCACGGAAATACAGATTTTATCATATATTTTTAATACCCAAATTAAAAGAGATCGAAATTATGTAGGTAATCATAATTTTTTTTAAAATCTTTTAAAGTTTATTTTTTTTTACAAAATTTAACATTTACTAAGAAGTTAGATGTTGCACCAAACTTAATTCAAAATATTATTCATGAAAACTTGAAACTCTTACGTATCTATATTATTGAATTTTACTAAACACAACAGTGACATTTCCAAAATATTTAGATTCATTTTCAGCTATTGCTTGTATTTATACCACAAACGGCACTAACCTATTTACACCGTTCTACGGTAAGTCGGTATCGGCTCAATAGATGATAACAACAATATATTGTGTATAAATATACAGTACAAATATGTAGGTACTATTATAATAATTAATAATATAAATTTATAATAAATGCAATGTTTTCAGCAAAAATTAATTCACCTGACTGTATTGTGGGGATAGCAATATAAAACATTTATAATACAAATTTGCTTAGTAATATAGACTGACAGCTAACTTCTTCGCTTAGAGTCGATTTTCATTTTTCGTATTATATAAAATTATTTATCATTGAATTCAAATTGTACACAACCTTTACACAGACATACTCAATTAGGTAGTATACACTCGCCACCGGCAGGGCTATTACTTACTTGTCCGCTTTTAGTTCGTATTATAATATTAATAATAAAATATTGATATATAGGTTTATAATTATTATAATATACTCAGGTATTGTCTTAATGTATTTTAAATGGTTACTTATTCTAAAAAATTTTTTTTTTTTGATAATGATTGCGTATGGTTTATGAACATATAAATGTAATGAATAATATTTTTTACCTGAGGTTAAAAATATAAACAATGATTACGATTACAGTAGATTGGCCAATAATTTGTAATTAAACAAATCAAAACCTTAGTTTAAACGGCAATTTAATCTATATGCATTTAAACTTATATGCTGGAAAAGATATACTTGATTATAAGAAGATCATTATATATTATAAGAATTATAATATATTATACGATTATTATTATATAATAAGAAGATTCTAGAAATAAATTTAAAGTAACAATTTGATAACTTGTAATATACATAAGATCACAGTTTTCACAATCAAATATAAGTTCAATTTTTTTTACCATACAAATAAATAATAATCAATAATTAATACCTAATAATTTATTTTTCAAAAACCAAAGTGATTTAGTTTACCAATAATCATCCTTCTAGTTTTCACTTTTATTTAGATAACACTGTAGCGCATACGGTATACCATGTTAAATAGTTTTATTTAATCATATTATGCAATGTATAAATTTGTAACAGTTTTAATGAAAGCAAAGTATAGATAACGAAAAGTGCGTAGGTATGTGATGTAGAAACTTGATATTAGGAACTATTGAAAAATGAAAATAGTATACACATATGGGATACAGGAAAAATAGTCAAATTGTGGTGTTACTCAATTGTCTAATCAGTACTCCGAAAGATAATATTTATGCTAACCATAAACAAAAAATAAAATGAAAAAAGTAATAATACAAACATAACAAGTACTATAGGTACTCTATGTACAAGATAACAACTATCATGTTTGTTTGCATTTAAAATACAACGTTTTATGATGATTGATCACGTCGACCGTCGGCCGTCACGTAATAATCTATTGTTATAATTTTAGCAATAATAGATGTGCCAACTGTTGGAACGAATCCGCTCGAGCTCAATGGTTTAGACATAGTGACGGATGGCGGTGCGGATCTTCAGCCATGGGGAGTAGTGCATCGAATGCTGGTGTTCCGTATGGATCTTTTGACGGACATCATGCACATCATCACATTCCAACGTCGAGGCAAAACAAAAGATCGGCTTGGGAATCTTTACCGTCACTTCGGCATGAAAACAGTGTTATGACAGATAGCGGATACAAATCTAATAGAAATGATTTATTTGAACAAAGGTAGTTTAATTAATAATTACAAAAACTATTCTGACATTTCAAGAAGTTATTTTTAGCCTAAGTTTTGACAAAGTCTCATTCAAATTGAATAGATTCAAATGTTTTTGTACGTACATAGGAATGAAAATAAATCAGAAGGCTAAATTAATAACTAACAACCATACATTATGAAAAAATATAATTTTATACTCTGTAAGTGTAGGCGTGTAGCTTACCGCTCTGCTGTAATGGGTCACTGTAATGGATGGTGTTAAATTTGAATTGAATGATATAACATCATTGTATACACGGTAAACGTTTCTGAGCGAAGACAGTCTGTCAGTTTGTAATATTACTAAGTAATTTAGTATATTTCATGATATTATTGTGATTCATTTTACTTGTAAGCATTAGTATTACGCAGTAGATTAAATTCATTTTTACCCGAAAAAATACATTTGAAAAGTCATTGCGTGTATAAAATATAATAATATATTTTAAAAGTTTCAAGTACCCACTAATAATATTTTAATTTACAACAAAATAACATGAGCCATTATTCTTGGTTATTTAATACATAATTTCGTCCACATTTGACCATTAAAAAAACTGTGATTATATATTTTTAGATTTTTTGGTTCCAGAACAACCTACATGCTTAGTATTTGATTCAAATTGTATGCTAAAAAAACATTTAGTGAATAAATTCCATGTATCTATGGTCATTTTTTTAGAGTTACATTAAAAACCAAAATAGATTTTTTGAAAACTGATTAAGAATTCCCGTTTTCCCTTAATTTTGTATTCATTTTCCTGTCGCTTTTGAAAAGTATTAGGAATATTTCTACCAGAAAAGTTGCTGTTGAAGAAAATCTAAGCATTTCCACTGCCCAAAACCGTGATAACATAAACAAAAATAAAATAAAAAACCACACATCATTGCAAAATCATTACATTCATCTCCCAGCTCAGAATCTAAAATGAATGTTGGTTTATCCAAAGTTATTATAGACTCAAAAACTACTAAACCGTTTTCAATAAAGCTTGTATCAATAGATTCCTTCAGACTTGGATTTATACATAGCTTATTTTTTAACCCCAATAACTAATAAGTAGGTCTGTTATCCCAGTACTACCAAAGTATTTATAAGGTCAAAAAATATCTTATTGATTTTTATTTCATTTGTATATATTTGCTATCCTAATTTAAAAATTTGTACACTTCCTCAAACTCGATTTATTTTTTCGAGTTTGGGAAGGAGTACAAATGTTTAGGATTACAAATATGTTTAAAAGGAATTAAAAATTGATATGATATTTTTCGACCTGTATAATCTATACCTTGGTGGTACTAGAGTAACGAACCTCCAATAAGTAACAAAAAGGGTAGCTCAAGCTGAATTTTTTTTCAGCTTATTTATTTGTATTGAGTAGTTTTTGAGTCTATAAACCACATTTGTATAAATTATATTTTCTTTTATAGTTTATATTATACAAACAGTATAAGACTAGTCACTATAGATTATAACTAAAAATTAATTGTAGTTTACACTGGTCGGTTGTTATATTATATTATATAAATATTAAAATATAAATTATTGTTGTAAATGAATTATAACTTAAATTAATTATTTTCAGGATGTTTGAACGACAAGATAGTGCCAGAATGGATTATATGGCTGAAAGAGAGGCCAGACATAGCTTTAGTGGAATTACACAGCAGACTTCTGTCGAAAGCACGGATTCTCGCCTGTGTTATCTTACATCGTCAGAGGTGAGTGAATTCTTAATCAAAAGTAGCTAGCTTACAAAATACATATAAGTTAAATTGACTCAATTACCAAATCCAAAATTATTTAAGAATACATATACTATAAAATATTATTAATTTTGAATTTGACATGTGATTAGGGTTCCTATCTTTGATATACTTTGATATAAAGAATAATAATAGCAATAAAATCATGTAGGTACACATACATTGTTTAGGTATAGTATTATTCGTGTGTGAAATGTGAAAAAACCATTCAAATATTAAATTTTTTTTATTGGTTAAACCTACAGATTATTTGATTTACTCTAAATTGATACTTTATTTGCTAATAAGAAATAATTAACAACATTAGGATTATAGGATTAGTAAGTTTTAACCTGTTATACATATTTCACACGAAATTAATGAGGTTCCTTATTTTTTAATAATACAAAACTCCACAAACAAAACGTTTGAAAGATATTTTCAGCTTTTTGATGAAATAGTATTAAAATAAATTATATTTTTTAATTGACGATCAAACTTATCTTGATACCTTTAGTATTTTCACGAATCAGTTGACACAGTACTCACTACTCAGGAACTTTGTTAACTTCTCTTAGCATCCAATTAACAGACTAACGATGCTTAAATAATATATTATACAGAGTCGAATTATACGCTATATGCACAATATAGATTTTATTAAGTTCCTATATATTTTATATATTCTATGTAGTATGTACATTACGAGAGTGTTCTCGATTATTATTGCTATTCAAAATGAAGACATTACTTCTAAAAAGAGTATAGTTAAATTCGATATTACTTCTGTAGATTTCTGAAAACTGGCCACACCAGTGGCGTAATTATTTGGGGAGGGGGATGTCCCCCCAGAGCTTTTTTTTCATAAGTTAAATTCAATTTTTGTAAACACTTAGTTATAAAAAGCCTGCTATTTTAATGCACTAAAAACCAAAAAAAAAGCTCTACAATTCTGAATAATGCAATTATTATTTTTTTATTAATTTCGATATAAATTCTAATATAAATTGGATATAGATGATGATATTATATACATTTTAAGGATAGTGAACATTTAACAGACAAAACTGATTGTTTTGGACTTCTTTAATCTGGAAAAACAATTAATAATGTAAAAGTGTGTTAAAATGAAATTTTGGATTCAAAAACTATAGAAATGAATATAAATCCTAAAAAAGCTTTAAAATATGAAAAAAAATGATATGCAAATAAATGCAAATTAAGACTTTTTATTTTGATTCAAAAATACATGAAATATGTATGTTATAAAACGAGCATCCCTAGACTTGGAAAAAAATTATTATAAATCATTATGAAATTTTAAGAAACTTAATGGGAATGCTTGAATGGATAAATAATGCTGTCAATGCTTTAGGACATAAAATACTAGATATTTTACAAAAAAAAAAGAAGAAAAGTAGTTAAATTAAATTAAATTGAATTGCTTAGTTTATTGTCTTTAAAATACATTATTAAACCATTTACTTAATTTGATTTATAATAATATATCAATATAATCTATAGAATTTAATGAACAAAGAGGTTGTGGAGAGCATACACCATTAAAATAATACAAACTTATATCCTACCCCAGAACCTATTCTTAATTACGCTACTAGGTCACACTATTCTAATTATGTTGAAGTGAAACATTTTTTTAAATTAATAAAAAAAAATTTTTTTTTAATATATTATTTTGATACCAAATTATTAAGTAGTAAATGTATTAATAATAAAAACTATTCCGTCTTAAGTCCAAAATATGTATTTACGTATATTTAATATCTAGTCACGTTGAATGTACTGTAACCCTGTAATACTAGGCATATCAACTATGAAACATCATAATATGATGAAAATCGTATAAGTAGTTTATGATATATTATATTAGGAATAATACTCGTAATTATCTGTTCGTTATTAATTGTCACAGACCATTAATATACAATCTTATATTTTTTTTTTAATTACAACAAAAAAACAAAATATATTTTTTATAAATGTTATCTTTGTCTGTAAATTTTTACTTTTTACTTTTTGCTCTCCAAAGTTCCAACAAGACCCAATTGTTATCAGAGACCACTTTCAAAGTTGATGGTTGAAACATTTTTACTGCATCTAAAGGTGATGTTGGCTACACACACAAAAATCAAATCATTGTAAAACCAATACGCATTTGTCTAAAATAATGATAATACAATTTTCAGAAGATAATTTAAAATAAATTTGAATTAAACTCTTTATTTTAGGCATTATAAAGTGGATTTGCTTTTTTACTACTTTTCTATTATAGGAAAGCGAGTAAACATGGTGACCAGTTGGAAGTTTTGTTTAGTGTTTACCACCAAATGCAAATTGACATATGTTATATTATGATGTAAACCAAAAAGTGATTTAAAATGAGATAGTTACACATAAAAATAAGTATACGCACAATAATATAAGTATAGTTAGTAAGTAATTAAAAATATTTAGCGTATAATATGAATTAACTACAATATATTATATTTATCATAACAATCCATTTCAGTAATGTAGTAAACCATGCACACCCCATACATATTTTAAAGTTATTGAAAAATAATTATACAACTGAATTATTTTTCAAAAAATTGATTTTCTTATTACATAGGTAATCTTTTTTTAACAGAAGAATAGTATTGATATATTTCATACATTCTCTCATACTTTTATTGTCAATTATAAATACATATGTATTGTATTTTTTGGTTACGAGCTATTAGGTAGTATAATATAATATACTTAATAATATATAACCTTTGTATTATATTTAAAATCGATTATTAATATTATGTACATTTGTATAGAAATTTCTTAAATTTTACAGACAAATTATATAAACAAAAACATAATATGAGAAGCTGAGGTAGGTACATTTAACAGTTTGAAAATGTAAATTATTGTCTCATCCATAAAGTTTTCAAACACAGATAATATTATACTGTATGCAAAAGGGTTACACGACGGCTTATTTATTTTAATGTTTAACAAATCCCGTTAGTGGGAGAGTGGAGCGTTTAAGATACACGAACAAATCGGAACTGTATACGAAGGAGATACATATGCCACGGAATATACTTAAAATGTAAATTTTTAAGAATCACGTCACACGACGTTCGATAATATTAACACGGCTAATACCCACCACTATATATATACTTGTACATGATATTATATTCTTTCGGTTGAAGAACGTTTTTACAAAACTGTTGCTACATCAAAGGGATCGGTTATAAATTCACGAGGCATTTTCAACGACGTGTATTTAGGTACAATAATGATATACACTTAAAAATAAACGTTTTCTTTTACTAATTGACAGTTATTATTATTATTATTATTATTATTATTATTATCAAACATCACACGAGAACGCGAAAAGGCATTTTTCCGAAAACGCTCTATTTCAATAATTATTATTTTACTCGCCCCCCCTCCCCCGCGCGCGGTCACCCGCAGCGTTTATTAGTGTGTCGATATCCGAGAACCTTTTCGCGTTTCATTACTATTATTTGTATAAATATATATATATATATGTGTGTGTGTGTGTGAAATACACACTCAAACGCGTACGCGGTCCTTTTTTTTCTTCCACTCGGCAAACGCACGTATATATGATTCAACACACATTTTCTCGTCGGGCCATTTCCTTTTGATGTGTTACACCAGAGGGCGCCGTCCGGGCGCCGGGACGCTGCGAACGCTGAAATACGCCCTCGTGATACACCCTCGTCCGCTAGTCCGCTAATGGAAGCTGAACGATCGCGTCGCGCTCCCGCAGTGTACTCCGCTCGGTACGGTCGCAACGTCACAGTCGCACACCGTCGCTCGTCGAACGGCACACCGGCAACAACGCCGCAACACTGCAACGGAACGGTAACAATAATAATACAATTACGTTATAATTATTATTGTTCGTCCGCCGCCGCCGCTGCCGCCGTCGTCATGGCGGTCGTCGTGAATCGCGAGCTCCCGTCTTCCGCGTCGTCGACATATTATTTTTACACCGGATAATACAAATCGTACACTTTACGTTCACGTTGTCGCGGGCCCGCGATCGCGATGCGTCTCGTCGTCGGACGTGTTGTATGACGGCAATATTGTAGCGGTGGTCGTCGTTCCTGTAGCTACCTCCGCCGTCCCGATCGACCGGGCCAGTGCCGCCGCCGTTGCCGCCACGAGGTACGGCAATACTACGATATTATAGTACGACGACGGACCGCGATACCAACCGCAGAGAGTCGTGGCTGCGAAGATGGACGATCAGGAGCCGTCGCTGTGGTGTTATTGTTTGCGGTGCGCCCGGCGACGGCGGTCGGCGCGTGCCAAATGCCGAACGACGGCGGTGCTGTCGAGCGGTGTGCACCACAACTGCCGCAATGCGGCGGTCGCCGAATAACGGCAATCGTCCTGTCCGCCGATGAAAATGGTCGAGACGAACCGGCCGAAACCGCCGTTGGACGTCGCCACCGCGGCGGCTGACGTGAACTCCTCGCCGCAGCAGCAACGCGAACACCAGCAGCAACGTGAACACCAGCATCAACGTGAATACCAACAGCTACGTGAACACCAGCAGCAACGTGAATACCAACAGCTACGTGAACACCAGCAGCAACGTGAACACCTGCAGCACCATTGGCAGCAGCCGCCGCAGCGTCGTCCACATCAGTCCCGAAACACCAAGACGGTACACTTCGAAACAGACGTGCTGCGAGGCGTCACGGCGGCCGACTCCGCGATGGCCACGGCCACTTCGAACTGCAGCACGGCCAGCGTCACTAGTCTGCCCGACCAGTTCGACAGAAACGTACAACAGTTGTTTACGTTTATCGGCACAGCTCTGAGCGGAGGTCACGACCGTTATTGTAGCGACGACGACGACGACAACGACGACTGTAGTGATGACGACGACGACTGCAGTGACGATGACAGCGACGGCGTTAGTGACGGATTTTGCGGTGGCTGCGGTGGCGGCAACGACGGTGACGACGACGACGAGG